TTGATTGTATTCTTTTCATATCTTGGTTATTTCAAATAATTATTATATTTGGGGTATTTTAGGTAGTTTCAATTTTTAAAAAAAGTCAAAGGTCATTTTGGAATTATGGCTTTATGTTTGGGTTATTTATTCATATATTTTCCTTTTTGTATCAATCATGCTACTGCTACGTGTATATATCATTTTTGACATTATATCATGTACACCAAACAAATTTTGTTGTTTTTTTTTTTTAAAGCACATTCTATTGCCCAACAATTTTTTAATTTTCACACGTCAAGAAAAATGTTCACCATTAAATATATACTTTGGGTGTGCTTGATGGATATTATTGAGAAAATAATGTATTTTAAATAGTGATATGATGGGAAATATGTAGTTAAAAAGTAAGAAAAAGTTATTGATGTGATGAAAAATATTATTTTATTGAAAAATTTGTGGCTGAAAATGAATTTTGAAAGAATATATTTTAAAAACATGAGTGTCAAACAATGGCTTAGCATAATTCTCTAGGTATATTTTTGTAAAATGTTCCATTTCAAAAAGAAAATCATTGTGACAAGAACATCTCTTTTTCTGAAATAACAAAATAATATCATACTACCTTAGTCTCAATATTGAAGTTATTGTTTTTCCAATGTTTCCCACACAATTTTACTTTATATTTAGATAGAACTAAACTTTTTTGGTAGAAAGAAGTTGACACCCTTGTTGACCTATACTCATACGGGGAGTGCGTTTCATTTGAGACACATGTGAATAAAAAAGGCCAAACAATTTCTCCCCTCCCCTTTATTATAAGTATGTTGTTAGGGAGGGTGGCAACATAGAGAATTGATGTCTATAATGTTTGTCATGATGGCTAACGAATGTGTGTTGATAATTATCAATGATATTAAGTGGATAATTATGCTAAATCATCCATAGATATTGATTTTAATTAGAATCACCTATTGTGATATTATCGATAATTACTAACAGAATTTCGTATTTGATTATTTGATCTATTAATTTATTTCATTATTTTTCTCCAACTGACCTCCTTAATACTTTTGTCAAATACTCTCGAATTGCATGAACCGTCTCAACAATATTACTCATTGTTTGTAATAGAAATCGTGTTTGATATTCATTATTTTTGACAATAGCTTCTATATAATATTATTGAATTATGCTTGAAGGTCACATTTAGCATCAATAAGCTAGTTGAAGAATTTTAAATATTTCAAATTATAAAGTTTTATGATTTTTAATATGGTAATCAATATTGGAATTTGTTCTTTTGAGACACTCGAATACGTGACAATCTAGTAGACTTTATCATCAATTGACTTTTGTGACGATTATTAGCATCACACACTAATTTATTTTGTATCTCAAGTAGCGTGTATTTCAAACACAAATTAAGAATTGGTATATATAAAAAGCATGACAAATTAGGAAGATTTTGTTGTGTTCGAGATTGTTCATATGTGTTAAACATCGATGATATCTCATATATAGTAGCATTGATAGTTGTTCCTTTTACTCCTGGTGCTGATTTCTATACAATAGATGTTAAAGAACGAAATCTTTGGACGGAATAAACATATTAACAACTCTTGAGCATTGTCTTCCTGCATGAGCCCGGCCAGCTGACAAGAAACCTAGAATCCCTCTGCTCCACCCACTGCTCCGTGAGTATGTGTTCGAGCTCGCTTGGCCGGCAAGGAAAGGTGAGTGCACCTTCATGATCAAACCCGTACTCTTCAGCAGCTTGCTCCAATAGCCTCAAGAATGATGGATGAGTCAAATAACTCAACGGCACAATGAATCTCTTCAATTCATCATCATCCCCTGCAATCACTGCAAAATGTCCCTCCTTCACATCATTCGGCAAGTTCTTCGACTCCCTCAATTCTTCGTCAAATTCATCCAAATCAGAAGAATTATTCCCGCCTAAGAGTAAACTTTTCTGTAGCTTTTCTACCACTAGTTTAAGCATTTCAATGCCATTCTTTTTCTTGCCATTTGTTCTACACTTTGCCATGCCTCTATTTGTTCTTCTTATCAATATATAACTGATTCGATGACCTTTTCCTCTGCACGTTGGCCAGATTATATAGTGTACGAAGCCGCGTGAGAGATAAGGTAGAGCCCTAAAGCGGAAAGAGAAAGAGAGAGGACAGACTTGCTGTCCCGAATTTGATGTCGATATAGGAGACCAGTGCATGTGAATTAAGTATGAGGCTCCCATGAAACGTCACTTGGACTTGTCCCTATTGCTTTCCGACAAAGACGAGAGTAAAAATCAGTTCGTCTAATTCACTTTGACTTGTCACTGCAAGAATTTTCGAGAAGCCTTGAATCTTGATGAGAATTGCATTGTGTTACTATGCTCAGGCTGCATATTAGAAGTTTTAAGTTAACCCCACTTGAAATTACAATTCTTTATCATACAAGAATAGCCAATGCTTCTGGAAAAATTTAACTGCTAGTCTGCTATAAATGTACAACTTTCAGGTATATAGATTCCTGATCCTACTAGGGTTTTCCAGGTAGCCGATTCTTTGAACTATGGCATTAATGTACAAGTTATTTCTATTTTAGTGTTAGACTGTATGCTGAAGTGTAAATTATTTATTTTTTGCCAAATTCTAGTCGGGTTTTTTTTAATTTTTCCATGTTTTGACCAACATGGTTCACTTTTTATAAAAACAAGTGTACCCTATCATTAAGAAAAAAAACATGTAGTAATTGAACTGTTAGGTTTGTATGACAAGTTGTCAACTAATGCTAGCATATGCTCTTAGCTTCTGTTTGTTTCTCATCATTTCAGCATAAAAATGAGAATTGTTACCGTTATATTCAAAGTTGTGGGGCCCACCAAGAGAGAAACAAGTCAACAAAGGTGGCTGTGGCACTGTGAAACGGTCCTAATTCTTCTAAAATGGGCGAAAAAAGGATAAACAAACAGGGGTTTAATCTTGTGTCACTTTCGTGTTGACAGTACCTTATAAAACTTGTGACGCAACATTAGTCTAATACATTTCATTTAACGCTTTTCATGAGCATAAAAACAATTTCAAAATTTTGAATGCTCAATGCAGATTTGATTAGACTAGTTTTGAACACCCTTATGACAGCAGAAGTTATACATAATTAAGCAAATAATAAAATGTACCCTTTTGCCAATTGCATCGCTCCTCTAGGGATGCAGGACATTTACCCCCAAATAAATGAAGTTATTTCATCTTGGCACCAAGAATCTCTACAATCATTGTTTTTCATCCTTTGCAGGAGTAATCTTGGTTTCATCGAAATAGGGCGTTAGTTGATCCAAGGATTCAATAAATCAATCTCCTCATCACCCTCCGCGTCAAAAATATCTACATTTTCGTCTTAATGACAAAACAAGAACCAAGTATGTAAAGCAATCCCATTTTTCTTAATAGTTAAATTAAACTTAAAGAATAGGTAGAACGGCTCAGTGTAAAGTCTTTGCAATGGGGGACGAATCCATGACCGGATTACAGATCGAACTAATAAGTAAAAAAAAAAAAAAATTACACACGATTTTTTTTTTTTTTACATAAAACCCTGTTTGCAATGACTTGACAAGATGTAGAAGAATCATTGAATTTTGTTATGACTACGTTATATATCTATCTTTGGTCAATCCACTTGTATGATGTTGAACCTACACAATTCTTTATTTCACATGTATTTTCTTTGTGTACGGATAAAATAACGAAACGAAGTGCTACACGTTTAGAGATAGGACAAACAATAAATCTTGTGTCGGGCAAGATATTTAGTCCACTCCTTCATACCCTACTAATCTCTATTGTCTTCTCAGACTTTAGAATATAGTCTGATCTCACATGCCTACTTCAGAGGTTTAATGAATGAAGCTTTCATTTTCTTTCCTTTTCACCTTCTTAAGATATACTGCTTAGTCTGGGTACCGCAATGTCAAGTACCTGCATCCATCCTATAATACAGAATTCCATGTTAATATTAGGTTTCATTTCATTTCATTTTATTTTTATTACTATTATTATTTTTTTTTATTTTTTTTTGTTTTGTATCTTCTTTCACTTAGGATTGTAACCTGATTTTTCAGCAAGGTAGATTTAATCCTATTTTTTTATCAAATATTTATTTTGAAATTCATGGAACTTACAGGTCCATTACTGATGTACAATGCTCATCTATTGTTTAAAAAGTCTAACTCTATATATATCATTTGTACAATGTGATGACCTCAAAAAAGGCAAATTATTTTTTTGAAATTAATGTCAATTTTTTTTTGTCGGCAGGATTTGCCCCACTTTTTTTGGAGGTGGGAGGTTGGTTTTTTAGGAGCTAATGGTTTGTAGAAAGAAGAAAGATGGGGTTTTCACTGTTATTTTGCTTCAAAATCGCCCTTAGATTGGAGAATGTTAGAATTTTCGAAAGGACTAGTTCTTAATTTGCCTTGATTCGAGATTACCTTTTAAAGAGTGAAATATTGAATCTTAAAATCCAATTCCCAAGAGTCTATTTAGCTTTGTGCTCGTCACATTTGTCAAGCAATTCGTTGTGCACACATGAATTTATTGCATTGATTCTATGTTGATTGTGTCAAAATTCATACTAACGTTTTCACCCATATCCGAGACTTAGTCCTAGGCCTTCACGCCTTTTGGTGGCCGAGGCCTTAAATTGTGTTTTTGCCAATAACAAATTTTGCACGCTTCATTGCTAAATGATGCTTCGACAGGCAAGGTATGCACTTCAACATAAGCTCGTTGGCCGAGGTGCGATCATGCAGTAAATTTTTGCATTGCATGTACACTGGTTCGAGAACGAAACTTCTTTCAGAATTCTTGAGGTATAAAGGAAATTTTCAAGCACAAAATCTATTCACTGTAAATAAATATAAACATAATTTAAGGTGTCTCGTGCAGCAGAAATGTCTCATCTCCCTACAGAAAAAAATAATATTAACATGTGAGAACGAATCCATCAATAAAATGTTTTATTGCAGTACAATATCAACACATAATGATCAGATTTTGCAGCATCTCAGGAAAAAGAGGACAGAGATCTTCCTTTCTTCACTGCTTTGGTAATTACAATATCAATAACTTATGTTATTATGTCTTTCAACTACAAAACCAACGACCTCAATCAGTCAATCCATCCAAAATTGGTGCCAAAGCGTTACGTGAAATTCTTGTCATAAGCATTAAGTAATAAATAAGAACAATAATGGAACAATCATGTCTGTATATATTGAATAATTATTGATTGTTGTTCAAAATTGTACAGTGTCTTTGTATTTATAGACAAAACTATTCTCTAATCCTATTAATATAAAGAAACTAAATTATAAAAGGAAATAAATTAAAATCCTAATAAAAAAGAATTTAAAAATCATATTCAAATCAATAAATAAAATAAATCTTATTCTAAATAAAATATTAAAATAAAAAGATAAAAAAAATTTACAAGTAGACATCTTATTATAAATATCCAATCATAATCCTATTTACAATATGATTGTCCTACATCAAAAATGTTCACAAGTAACAGATAACACGAGAAATCGGAATGCACAATATCAATCCGTCTAGATTTATTGACAAGTATAAATTTTGCTCCATGTCTCTACATTTAACAAAAATCCTCCTAATTCACTATTTACGATTCAGGATTTATTCTTTCCCGGTATCGCTAGGATGCTATTACAACATCAAAGCTGATAAAAAAAATGTAGTGTTACAAAACCTATTTGTACTACTAGAACTCAAAGTTTCATTTTTGTATGGACTATTGAATATGTTAGGCCTGTGATATTTACAAGACACATTGGAGCAACAGGTGAGTAAGAATTCATATGTTGCAAGCTTGGTGCAACTGGCATTTTACAAACAGAGAAGGCTGTAGAAAACGAGAGGTATAAAGGCATTGTCCAGTTGTGCTGTGTAGGCCTCCAACAGACCACTAGTAGTCACTGCCAATATAAGTGAGAACCAGTGCTGCAAAAAATGAAGGATAAAGAAGTGAGAAAAATGCATGAACTAAAAATTTAACCATGAGTCTATGTCTACAAACATGCACACACGCACACCCAGAGAGAGCGAGAGAAAGACCATAGTGAAGATGTAACCAGTTGAGGCTAGAAGTGGAAGTAGAACGGAGCATGCAGCCAAAACAGAAGTTATGCCAGCAGCAGTTCCTTCAATTGTCTTCTCTAGAAAAGGTCAATAAAGATGACTTGTAAGGAAAGGTAAAAAATGAGTTGAACCAAAGGGAAAGTAAGTAATAACGATTTAGAAATGAAAAATCATACTGCCTGTTTTGCTCAAGCGGATAATTCCATATTTGTGGCCGACCATTGATGCCTGCAGTAAATGCAAAATGAATTTTAGACACCACGAGACTCTCTCTCCTAATGTGTTAGCAACCTCACAAGCATCCATTAGAAAATAGCGAATCTCTAGCGCATGGTTTTCACACTTTCTTCTCCAGTTGATTGCAGAAAATACAAGCTCAACTACACATGCTTTCAGAAAATGATCACAGTGAAAACATTTCAACATTTGTGTAAAAACTGCTTGAAGCACCTGAGATTTTTAGGGCATTCAAAGAGATAAATAGGAAGTTGCCAGGAAAGAGTACCAGAGATTTACCATTGTATCACCAATACCAAGGCTTAGAATTCCAGCAAAGGGTGCAAGTGGACGATCAGTAACACCAGCAGATAGCCAGATAGGAAGTGCACATCCCAGTAAGAGTGAAAAATGGCTGCATAATGAAGAAGATTGGGGAAGCAAACAGTCAATATCTTCAAGAAACAAGTGGTACGACACATTGAGTGAAACAAATTGCACACCTGACAATAAGCAAATCAGAATCACGATGGTCAGTAAAAGCATTCATGAAATGGTGAACAAGGTTTCCTAAAGGCCAAATTCTCCATACCTGCCACGAGAATCAAAGCTAGTCAAGTTTTGCCAAAATATGCAAAAATTAAATAATATACAGAAGAGAAGACAGATTTCGGAAGGATCTAGGGCGCACAGATTTTTTTAATGACAGATGGAAGCTTTAATGTGCGTGCATGTGCACTTACATGTTTTTCTTTTGGTCTGGAGGAGTTGTCAAAGATAGATTGATTTGGGTATTATGCGACAAAAATTCCCTCAATTCACATCCAACAGGTTAAATCAGAATTTCTTTACAATACAAGTTTAGACCATTACAAGTGACTAAAGTGATATGTAAAACACAACCTTGTATTTATTAGTGTAAATTTCTGCACTTCCCCATTTTAAGGTCCATGCTTACCTATTTTTACTGGCAAAATTTTTTAAAACAACTCTTATCAGTATATTCATACTTCAAATATGGATGAATATGTAATTAAATTTACATTCACTTATTCTCTATCTTTTTCTTCTTGTTTCTGTTCGTGTTCAATGCTAAGAGGTGTTTGACAGGGTAAGTACCAAATCTTGAACGTGACAAACTATTTTATTGACTATTCAATCAAAAAAATTGTTTCACAATTGAATGTTAATTGAGTAAAATTCAAACACACTACCCAAAGGCTTGAATGACCTCGTTTCCTTCCAGGATAGTCTGGGAAACAACATTTTTTTCTTAAATAATATACTATCCCTTGCTTAAAGTATGTATAATGATATTCTTGGCCACTATTTTCAAGATTAAGAATAATATTTGCACCGAGATCTCACTTTTTCAACCCTAGGCCGAAACTCCATGCTAATTCAAATGAAAACATTCTATTATGAATAGAGAGTATCATATTATATGAAATATATAATTGTGCTTAAATGTGAACGATTGTGTGCATGATGGAGGTCAAACTGTCATCGAACACTTGACCCTTTCTTTTTAAGTTCATTTCTTTGGACTCTGAAAGATTTTTTCGACATATGGTACATTTTAAAACTTTTATACCCGATTCTTTTTTTGGTCCATGTTTTACAAAGCTTTATTATAATTTAACGTGGTCGGACATAATTTTTATCCACAGGTTTCGTAAGACCCACAACTACTACCCACTTATTATCCACACATTCCATAGGACCCACAACTTATAATCACTGCCAAGCATAATCTTAAATTTCAACTGATTTTCTGATTAATCAAAGACTAGAGAAGGCCACAACACCCATAATAGTTGATAAAAGGGGATACCAATCAAATGTGATCCATCACACTAAATGAAATAAGCACTTAATCATTTCAACATCAAGTGTTGAGCAACATTATATTCCGATTTAGAGAAGGAAGGAGAAAGAAAGTAACAATATTAGTCAAGAGGCTGGAGTAAAACAAATATTCTCCAGTTTTTATATGGAAGAGAAGAGTCTCTAACTCCTTCCATTCCTTTGTTTTATCGTACTTCTCTTACACCATAACCAAACAAAACAAAAATTCACATTCAAGAATCTGAACTTTGCCACTGAAACAAAGGACAATATTGCAATACTTTGATTTCCACAAATATAATCATGTCTTAAAATCATTTCAGTATAAGAAGATCAAATGCATGATGCTCAGAGTTCATAATGTGTAGATATTTCGGTAAAGTTGCAGCATTCACAAGTTGAAATGCAGGAAGATAAAAAAAATTCACATAACTCTTACCCACACCATCTTGGTAAATAGTAGTAATAACCTAGACTTATTTCTTTAGGAACTTACTCGTATAATTTCCAACATGAGAAAGACTGCCAAAGCTGCACCAAAAGCCAGATCAAGAAATTTTGGCTGGAAAAGAAATCCACCATCAAATATATTTCCAGAAAGAAAGTCAAATTACAGCACAGTAACCTCAAAGTCCTTTCAACCTCAAATTACCTGGAAAATAAGTGCAGGAACAAAAATTGAAACAGCCATCAGATGGTAGTATTTGCGAAGAAGAATTCTCTCAATCGTACTATTCTTCGAAATGTTGTAGAACCGTATTACTGACACATATATAACAGCTACCCAATAGACACATAGGGACAGTCTCTTGAGTGGTTCAGAGAAAACAAAATTAAATACCCTGAAAAATATATGTAAAGATGGAAAATAGTTATATTATCAAAGAATAAAAGCATGAAAATTAAATAAGGATCAATTGTTGAAAGAAAATATTTATCAGTGAATATATCTATTGATATTTAAAATGAAGAATAAAGAGATCATACAGGATATATAAGTGAGTTGGAAGTTCAAGATTTAACTTATGTTCCATCAGGTGTTTGTATTATTAGAATGCAAGAGAATTTGCAGACAGCTTTCAAAGTCCTTTTCAATGTTAAGAGAACTTCTTGAAAAATATTGCATTTTTATTCTTTCTCAGGGAGACCTTTGCCATGAGTCAAGCAAGAAGGGACCTGATGCAGATCCACTCAGAATAACGATCAGCGGCCATTGAATGGATAAAAGTTCAAACATAGTAACACTAGTACCACCACCAATAGAAACATTAGCAGCACAAAGCTTTTCTAAACTATTCACTTGAGTTTTAAGGCTGAAGGATTAAGAAAAGTAAGGCTTTGCTAATTCACATTCTTATCTGCAAACCCTGCCAAAGGTTAGCAATACTACTTATCTGATGGGGAATTAACTCCATAGATTTCCCTGCTATGTTCATTTTTAAGGATTGCATTAGATTTCTAAGTAAGCCTTATTTAAAATGAGGATGATCAAAAGCCATACCAACCCAAGACAAGTATGGAAATAATTCCGAATTAAAGTCGTTTTTATAGATATTCATGAAGAAATAATTCTGAATTAAATTCGTTTTTATAGATATTCATCAAAACAATACGACACTTTCCTTCTCCTTGTTTAGTGAAAGCAGGGACATAAGGACCATAACAACCTCATGTTGTGTTTTTTAAACTTTAAGGCTTCATAGAATTTGCATCTAAAGATGGTAGTTAGTTTGCATTTTCATGATCCTAATAGACATTCATAACCATTGTAGTCTCATACATGCTTAACTTGTAAGGCTTCATGTAATTTGCATCTAAGATTATTTTTGGCAAGTGTTTATACTAAAAGTCAAACCACTTTTTATCCACATATTTCGTGGAATTCACAAGTATTATTCATTTATCCCCAACTAGTTTCTATCTGTATAAACACTTGCAAATATATGCTAAAGGTAATTAGTTTACATTTATATACATCATAACATCTCCACTAGATAAGATACATGTTTCATAAGAAAAATTCAATGGTGAATAATTGGATTCTTTTCCTTCATTTTTCTTGGTCCCAATATACCATTGGTACCCCAACAATAACAATAAGAAATAGCAGCTGGATTAGGTCAGAACTTCAAGCCACTGTTGCTATTTTGCCATGTTGTTCTCTGTGCTGGGAAATTAGACTGTTTCTTGATTAGTCTCGCATTCAACTTAGCTTTTTATCTCCAACAATAGACTGAACACAAGCACGCAGACAAAAAAGAAAACATTTGTCGTGAAACTCCAGATTCCCTAGATTGATCGACTTTGAACTTGTCAACTTGTCTACTTATAAGGAATGAAATTAAAAAAAAATAAAACAAAAACTAACATGCCAGTTTTACAAAGAACAATGCTATTTATCTCCATTAGAGATGATCACCACACGATGTGACATTAAATGATAGGACAAATTCAGTGGATCTAATATCCCTACATATAATTGACCTTATCACTTTATAGCACATCATGTGCCACATAGATAGATTAGTGATCTATAAAAGGGCTTTTCCGGTATAACTGAAAGTGAAGTTAATTTACCCCTTAGCCTTTCTTGAATCATGTCGTAGCTTATTTTGCGATATTTTTAGCATATTTGTATATTCTCATTAAAACCCCTTAACAACATTACACCAATACCTAGTGCTAGCACAATGACATCATGACACAAGATCACCTATAATTGGATTTAAAATAAGAGGCCATATAAAATATAACTTAATTTTGATACATATCGATTAAATAGTCTGTTTGATAAATGAATCCAGATCCCTTCCATAAATTACAAACTTCATCCTCATTATATTTATGTGTTCTTATGACTTTACCATATGATTGTCAAGAACTGACTGTTTTCTCTTCCAAAACTCTCCCTTCCATCTTGTTTAGTTGACAGCACCAAAATATTCAACTTACAAGAATCATCCATAAGTCTCAAAAACTAAGTTACCAACCCAAATAAGAATTAATATGGCAACACTAAATTCTGTTCTTCGCATCAGGAAATTTGATAAAGTAGAGAGCAGCCAGAGCAGTAATTGGCAACAGATTGAAACAAAATTGAGGAGTGTACCACAAGAGAGGGTGCATGTGAAAATCATGGACAAATTGCATCCATGATGGAACAGCCACAGCCAACATAAATGCAAGTAAAGCACAGAAAACAAAGGATCTTCTGATCTCATGGTTCAACATGTCTCGAGAGCTAGATGAGCTAGCAGAGCATTGCCAAATTTTGATAACATATCTGTACAAAACAGGAAAAAGAAGTAGGCCAAGAGTCATGCCCTGCATGAAATGGGAAGGAAATTACCAATTAATGTATATATAAAATTTACTTCTCCACTCAGAGAGGAAAAAACTATGGAATGAATACTTGTTGAAACACACAGAACATTACCTGAATAATTATGCGTATCTCATCCCTCTTGATGCCGTTTTCCAGAACAACTAACTTGGATGATGCCCAATATCCAGGGATCTGTTTGGTAACAAGTTACTGTTAGCAAAAATATTGAATAAATTTGATAGAGAGAGCAAAAATAACAATATAACTAACCTTTGAAGTAGTGTAGAACAACATGTCCCCAAAGTAGATCACAAAGCCAGCAGTGACCAGAAGCCCTTCCCCTGACAAGAGAAAAATAACATAATTTCTGAGAGAACAAAAACAATTTGGTAAAACCAAACCAAACCAAATCACAATACTATGAGCTTGTTTGAGCTCCATTTTTTGCTACAAATGCATTTTGGAATAGAAATTTGATGGATCTCATGTGTTGTTAAAAAATAAGAAAAAGTTTTAGGTTTGCGTGTAATATTATTTTATTGAAAAATTTGTAGTTGAAAATAAGAGACAGAAAAATGTATTTTGTAAATAATGGGACCAAACAAGGATTGTGCCTTAAAATCAAATGAATAACAAAAAGTATCTGTACAATGAGTTAAAACAAAACAAAATTTCTCTTCCATGTTCTTTCTTGTCCTCTTAAATATGGACTCCATCAAACAAGTAATAAAGCCTAAATAATAGTAACATGATCTACCAAAGGAACACATGCTAAAACAATGTTTTAAAGTAAGTTGACCTCTACGATCCATGGTAGAGCACCAGCAATAAAGCTTAAATAGCAACATGACCTACCAACAGAAACACATGCTGGAAAAGTACGAAGAATGTTCTGAATTAAGTAAATAGCTACTAATCCATGACAGAGCACCCATAAGAACATCAAAGTAGCAGACAGCCCTGTAAGAGGAGCAAATTGAGCAAAATTAAATCATTAATCATATGCTGTTGACTGACAAATTGGATATATAATGAAGTAAAGAAACGTTCACAAACTTATAGAAACTCCCAAAGGAAGTAAATAAACTTTCCATGTTTTCGAAATTTAAATTGATAACGAATTAAATGCTTGAGCAAGTATGAAAATAGAAAGAGATTCTTTCACTTACCACCATATGATTTCCCGAAAAATGACATACAGCAGATTCCTATGAACAAGGCCATGCACGCTACACCAAATTTTGTGTCCCGATTAAAGAGAGCACGGATAGAGCTAGCATTGTTGTTATGAAGTCGAAGAATGAAGCAGACAAAAAGTAACACGGCAAAGCAAATGGCTGATGCTGCCCAATATTGCAAATTCAGATATTCTAGCTCTGCAGAAAATTAAAACGAAACAAAGAATCAGCTAAATTACATTCTCTTTCAAGAAAACCACTGCATAGGAAAATAACATATGGTTGTTATGGAAAAACTTCATTAGGTTAAACTGAACTGATGTATTTGCAGCTATATTCCATATGTAGGCTTGCGAAAACACGGAATGAATGTATCAGACCACTTCCCTATGCTATCAAACATTTTTTCCATGTATCAAATTATCTAATGGCATGTCCATATAAAGTCTCAAAAGCATAATAATACAGAGTTATGAGCAGTTAACCCAATCCTAACTCCAAAACAACTTCCAAGTTAAGATAGCAAAGGCATACCTTCAACTCCAGCTTCATGTAATGACACCAACCTTGAAACTTGTATTAATCTTGAAATCATCAGCCCCGGCAGTGTTACTGCCCCCAGCATAATCCCTGATGTAACTCCAGGCCTAATATCGACCAATTTCTTGGGTCAAATGATCATGAACGAGCTATAGCGTACAAGATGCACCCAAGAAAACAAAAAGTCTTGACTACTCTAAAACATTTAACTACTATACATTAACTTTGATTCAGACTTATATAAATATCTCCTAGCAACTCTAAAACATATAACTGATATACATTAACTTTGATTCAGACTTATATAAATAGCTCGTGGAAAAATGATACCCTCCTAAATCGAACCCATTTTTTTCTAAAAAATTAAATATCTTTCTGATAAAATAAGAGTAAACCAATTCAGCATGTAGCATTGACGTAAGAACGCAATATAGTCTACTCATGTAGAACCCTTTCAATCAAAGTAAGAAACTAAAAAATTCACGACCATTCAATCTTAATACTTTTGAGAATTTGTTTAACCGTGAAAATAACCATATACACAACCAAATCAGCAATTCCACCTATACATTAAGAAAAATAATAATAAACAATCTAACACGGTAACAAGAGTAGACGAAAAATGGGCAGTAGGGATTTTGATCAACAAATCATAAATCCTATTCAACCTCAATTTTGAACCAAATTACATGAAATTCCGAAATGGTCCTATTACCTGGTTTTGAAGAACTGCGAAAGGGGATTGGAAGGGTCATCGGCAGAGATCTCGACGGAGAGGGCGAAGAGCGAGAGTAGAGAGAGAGAAAGAGCTTGGGAAAGGAGAGAGAGAGGGGTGGAGAAGAGGATTTGGCAAATATAAAGTAAAACCACGGCTCTCTCGCCGTTGAGCTGCAACAGCAATGGAGCCATGGCGTCTCGTTCTGCTGTTCTCGAAAACTTCACCTCACCAATTCTTCTTCATAAGACCAAACAGAGAGATTTGTTTACAGTTGAATTGAAGCGTGCGACGGAATATGAATATCCAAGGAAATGATTCGATTTTATACGAGTTTATTGTCGCGCCGCTGAAATGTGCGTGGAACCATTAGCAAGAAAACAAACAAGAAGACCATGACTCGGTCAGCCAAGCCATGGTGGCCGAAACTTCTTTGTATTTTGGAAAAATGGTAAATAGCACAAAATGTCCCTACTTTTCAATGTCAATATTCAAAATGTCTATACTTTTTATTTTTTGACATTTTCACCACTATCTTCCATCTTTTATTACGCAAAATGTCATTTTCAACCATTTTTCCAATAAAATGACGATTTTACCTTTCTATTCAAATGAAACGAAAAAGAACCTAAAATAAAAAAATAAACAGTTAATTACAATCATAGTCCTAATTTTTTTCAAAATATTACAAATAAGTCCAAAATTTTCCACCACCACAACTTTCACTACCCCACCAAGTCGCCACTTATAGATCCACACAGCACCACCTTCGACCACCACGCCCATCGGTGGTGCTATGTGGATCTATACGTGGCAGCTTGGTAGGTGGTGAAAGTGGAGGTGGTGGAAAATTTATAATTTATTTGTAATTTTTAAAAAATTTAATGACTATAATTGCATTTGATTATTCTTCTTTTTGTTTTATTTGAATATGAGGATAAAATCATCTTTTATTGAAAAAATAGTTGAAAATGACATTTTGTGCAATAAAATGTGGAAGATATGGGTAAAAATGTCTAAAATGAAAGGTATGGACTTTTTGCACAATGACATTGAAAGGTAGGAATGTTTTGTGCTATTTACCATTTGGAGAAATTATAAACTTCTTTCTATGATTGGAAACTCGGCCCTTGTTTGATTTTCGAAATTCTTTTTTTATATATTTATTTTTAACTAAATATTTATACAACAAAATATTTTATAGAAAAAATATTTAAAATATTATTCGGTAATAATGGTCATCAAACATTGCTCAAATCTCAATTTGTTGTCTCAAGGTAATAAGATCATATGGAGATGGTCCTTCCATCCGGTAGTTCATCAATAAAGGCATTCTTATCATGAATTTAGCTAGCTCCATTTAGCATAGGATTTTACTCCTTGTACCGGGGTGTACAACCCTCCCTACCGCCCCCCCCGGTACGAATAGTGCGGTCCTTTAGCATATTATTGTTAATTTTTTTATTTCAAATATTTAAATAATTAAAGTTGAATTTATAGCCCCTATTTGGGGAGGATTACAATTATATCCATAGTTATGAGTATGGTTTTTGGTCAAGGTGTGCTCTTAGGACGTTATCATTAACCAACACACTCAAGGAAACTAACGCATTTTTTTCATCTAAGAGTATTTTTAACAAACTTTCTATTTTAAATATCATCTTATGCAATATAGAGATCAATAAAGAGTAAAATTTCTTATACATTCTAAGAATACTCTCTATTTTGACTTCTTCATTTTATTTTTTTCCAAAAATATTTATTGATTTTCTTCTCAACTCTTATTTAACTTTTTTTTATACGTCAATAACCAACCGATTCGAATGTTATTTGAATAATAAAGTATTGAAATATGTAGTTTGTTAAATGCAGTCATCATATTTAATAATATAGTGTACGCAGTACACACTATCTATTTTTGAAAACTTAAAATAAAATATTTGGAGCTTATTCTTAAACATTGATATTCTAAAATAAAAATTATTTTATATTTAGAGAGTTTCTTGAAAATACTGTAACATCTAGTTCCTAAAAAATGCATTATGATTTATGAGTTTCTTAATTAAACCATGTTTAGCAGAGAATTTTTGAGAACAAATTTTGTGAAAAATGAATTTTTTTGGAGAATGTGTGATTAAAAGTCGAGAAAAGTAATGAATCAATGTGCAATAAAATTATTTTATCGGGAGAATATGGTTAAAAATGAGTTTGAGAAATAATAAAATTTCAGAAAATGAGGGCCAAACATGGTCAAAGTGTAATCTAGTAGTATAGAGTGGCCCACCATTAATAAATTTATACCTAATTATTTATTGAACTAATGACTTTTCAGCTTGATCCTTGCAGTCGAACCGATTAATTATCCTATTTATTGTTTACATTGTGAAAAAAACACTCACCTAAAAGCTTCACCATAAATTTTGTGCCTACGTACAAGTTGCATTGCGTGGGGAACTCTTATAAGTGGTGTTTGGTGATGATTAAGATTAAATTTTTAGTGAATTGTGATAGAAGTTTTTGAAACGTGTGGTTGAAAAGATGTGGAGCCCACGAAAGATGTAATTAATATTGATTGTTTGACTTTGGTTTATATTAAAATCAGATTTTAATCCGACCCAAACATGCCCTAAGACAATTTTTAGTTTAAAAAATAAATTTTTAATAAAAATTGGATGAAATGAACATTTGGTCACGAATTTGATAAAAATTGTGAATCACAGTTTAAAGAAAAATAGGAAGTCAAATGTACAAGCGTGAAGTACAATTTGGTAACAATGGTCATCCATCAATAAATGGGACCTAATTGGTATTTATTGGCATAGCGCGAGTCTTCCTTTTGACAAAATGTAATTTTCTTCTCAACTTGATCGTTAAAGTCTACGTCGATGTATGTACAAGTGGTTGCAATTGACATTCGTCTAACACTGCCTAGATTGAAAGAAAATATCATCCATGTTTAGCCCCTTCTTTTCCGGCAAGAACGATTTATGATAGAAAACGAGTGGGCGAATTAGTAAAATTTGAAGAAGGTACAATTGGTACCGCGTTGAATTTTGAATCAAATAATGTTGGCTTATAAAGTTGATTATGATATGCTCCAGTGCTTTTTGGATCTTCTCGGACCTTGTTCGGTGTAGATTAAAATCGCATTTTTAGTAGATTTTGATAAAAATTAATGAAATGTATGGTTAAAAAGTCATAAATCCCACAAAATAAAAATTAAATATTATTGACTTGGAGTTGAGATTTCAATTTGATTTAGCCCCTGTTTGGCCCCCATTAAATTATTCTCACTTTTCATTACAATCACACATTCATCAAATAAAATAATATTACACACAAATTTAAAACTTTTCCACTACACATTCTCCTCACTATTCCAAAAAATTTCAACTATAAAAAATGTCAAATAATGGGGGCCAAATAGGGGCTTAGGCTGTATTTGATACACATTGTGGAGAAAAGAACGCATTTTTTCAAGTAATGTGATGGAAAATATGTTGTTAAAAAATAAGGAAAAATTTTAAATTTGTGTGTAATATTATTTTATTAATGAACGTGTGGTTGAAAATGAGTAGATGAAAAATGCATTTTTCAAGAATGTAGATCAAACATTGGCTTAATTCAAACCAAACATGTAAGTAAAATTTGGTAATAGTAATCAGCCATTTGTAGATAAATTATAAATATCAATTGGTATTTATTTGCCCTAATGATAGCCTAAATTTCGAACGGAAGTAAACTCATGTGATGGTGGTTAAATTGCCAGAGAAATTGTCACAGCTATTAAGTGATACGGAGACAAGTCCATTGAAGGAGGGCAACGGGGGCTATAAATACCAGCCCTCCTCAACTCCTTCAAACCATTCAAACACAGCATCTTCTACTTTCTGTTCCTCCATATAGAGAGAGAGAAAGCTATAGAGAGAGAATGGCAGACATTGAAGGTGCTTTTGGAAGTTCTGTGAATGGATTAACTGGCAAAGAGCAATCCTTTGCCTTCTCTGTAACTTCCCCCACAGCTAAATTTGCTTTGCCAGTTGATTCTGAGCACAAGGCAAAATCTATCAAAATTTTGTCTTTTGCACAACCTCACATGAGATCCTTTCACCTAGCCTGGATTTCATTTTTCACATGCTTCATATCAACTTTTGCTGCTGCTCCTCTAGTTCCCGTTATTCGGGATAACCTAGGCTTGACCAGAACAGACATTGGAAATGCTGGGGTCGCTTCTGTATCGGGAAGTATCTTCTCCAGGCTTCTGATGGGCGTAGTATGTGATTTGATTGGACCGCGATATGGATGTGCTTTTCTTAACTTATTAACAGCACCCGTTGTTTTCTCGGTAGCATTCATATCATCAGCTCAAGGATATGTTGCTGTGCGGTTCATGATCGGATTTTCTCTTGCAACATTTGTATCGTGCAATTACTGGACTAGCATCATGTTTAACAGTTCGATAATTGGGCTTGTCAATGGAGTTGCTGCTGGTTGGGGTGACATGGGTGGTGGTGTCTGTCAATTGCTAATGCCTTTTCTTTTCCACATAATAAAGGTTTGTGGAGCCACCCCTTTCACTGCCTGGAGGATTGCATTTTTCATCCCGGGGTGGCTTCACATAATTATAGGTGTTATGGTTTTAACTCTTGGTCAAGACTTGCCAGATGGGAACTTTGCCACCCTGCAGAAGAGAGGTGCCGTACACAAGGACAAGTTTTCTAAGGTAAATCATATCTCCTAATTGTTTCCATTGTTCTTAATCTGTGCTCTAATTACATTCAATATGACCTAATTGGATTTTTTCTTCCTATTTCTTAGATACTCAAATATGCTGTCACAAACTACAGGACATGGGTTTTTGTCTTCATATATGGCTTTTCCATGGGAGTAGAGCTATGCATAAACAATATTATTGCAGAATATTTTTATGACAGGTGTGCATGCTCTCTACTCATGTTATATTTTCGTTATTAATATATGTCACGTCTTCCTAAAACTGACTATAATGATTCTTCAGGTTCAATCTCAAACTACACACTGCCGGAATCATAGCCGCAAGCTTCGGTATGGCAAACTTTTTTTCCCGGCCTTTCGGAGGATACGCGTCTGACTTAGCAGCCCGGAAATTCGGAATGAGAGGTAGGCTATGGATCCTTTGGATTGTCCAAACCCTTGGAGGAGTATTCTGCATTTG